GCAAGAAGTGGACATTTCCATTGCCTCTGTGATTCATTCACAGTTACCAGCACAGGAATTCCCAGCTGCGTGCGTGCRAGACTTGCAATTTCTTCAGTACCAAGCAGTAGAGATAATTATGCAGATTTTGGCACCATGTGCTTAATTTGCACTTTGAGGATGTATCACGTGGAATTTTCTTCTGACAACAAAGGGATAAAGCATTTGCCACAAAATACCTAAGCTGGGTTTTAGGCTGGTTTCAAGGGAAGTAGCAAGTGGTGTTTCAGATACTTTAATCTAGAATAAAAACAGAGACTCTGCCAAAATAATTCTTTCAAACCAAGAAATATGTTTTCATCGCTGAGTTTGAAATATCATTTCAGAGTCTTGGTCAGATTTACCATTTGATTTAAACCAGAGTGTCTTAATTGAAGTCAATGGAACTATGACAGTTTATACCAACCAAGGGACCGTCTGCCCGTTTCAGAGTATTATTTTCCCACAGTTGGCCTACTTGCCTTGATCTTTAAATGTCTCTTAAGACAGCRACAGATTTTCTTGTCATTTGAAATACTTCATGTATTCATACAGCCATTCCTGGKATTTTTTTCCTACGTTTGTGATATCTACAAATTGAAGTCACCTTCTCTATGTCTACCTCTCACTGTTGATGACATGGCCCTTTACAGCTTCATTTGTTTATTCGGGTCAGCTCCTCATGCTACCAGTTGCTTTCTTCTTTCCTACTGGGAGCCCTAGGCCACTTGATAGTGGCGCAACATTGGGTGCATGAGAGAGAGACTAGCAGGAAAATAGTAGAGATATCACAGCTTGGCAGATGACACTGGCTAAATGTTTTCCTATCTCCAAACATGGAAGCAAGTACTTCCCAGTTTTTTGGGAACAAGGTTCAGGATATAACTGTTGCGAAGTGAATTACAGATCGACTGGAGTCACTTGTATGAAGCACAAACATTTTCACAGTCTCCTTTCTTGTTGCTCGAAGAGTATTTTAGAAGGTCACTATAACATGTTTTCTTTGCACAGTTATTTCTTCAAGGCCTGACTCTCCCTTAATTTGGATTTTTGGTAGTTATTTCTCTCTGTGTTAAGTGGCATAAGATGGTCTCACACTCTAAGACTATAGAGAATTGGGATAACGAATTCCTCATGCTAACATGGATTTTCCCCTTTGATTCAAATTAATATTGTTACCAAATACCTGGTTTTGGGTAGTAAAGTAGTAAACTGCTTTTTTACTTCATGTGCCCACTGCTGGATATTGTGATTTATTATCATGAAAAGTAGCATAGCTACAAGTGCAGCTTCACATGGAGCAGCATAGGACCCAGATCCAGCATGATTAAATTCAAGAGGTCTCCTGAGTGCTGCTGAGGCAACCTGATTTGGGAATCTTTTTCTTCTGATTGAATAGCAAAATGCCTGCACCTCCCTAGATAGCTCTTTAAATCACTCTGGTACCATTCAAAGGCTGACCGTGGCCACACAGTCTGATGGAGCTAATCAACACTGGAGCAGGGAAGTAGTATTATTCACCCTGCAACCAGGTGTTTTTGCACCTGCACATCTGAGAAATATTTGGGCTTCAGAGAGAGGGGAGTTTACCAGTTCCCCAGAGGAGGGTGGCCACTCCATTAAGCAGTGCAGCAAACAGGYTGCTGGAGATTGGCATGGTGTTCAGGTGGTGGCCAAGTCCAGCTTTAGCTAGGAGGATGGGACTAGACCTGCTCAGAAATGTCAGGTTTTGTTTTGGTTATGAAGTGCCTTACTGAGCCACTGGCGCCTTTGTGGAGTATTTGTTCACTCTCTTAAGTCAGAGTGCATGCTCTGATCAAGGGCTTTAACSAAGTGTGGTTCTTACCCAAATAGTTGTTTAATTGCTTAAAATAAAAATATCATTTCTAAGATGTAGTAATTAATTCTGGGGCATAAGCCAGTAGCAAAATATGCACAAATGTCTGTGCCATAGTCATTAAAATGTAAATCAGTGTTTTATTTTGACTGCATGATCTTGCTTACATATTTCAAAAAGAACAGTCAAAAATAGAAGACATCAATTTAAAATAATGGTTATTTTCATAAGAAATCATGAAGGAACATATGTATGGTTTTGATCATCAATATAATCAATATAATATAGTAAGGTACTTACAAAATTAAACTATGTTTAAAAATGAAAAAGGTAGAAGGAGGGACATGAAACTTCAATAGCATCATCATAAATGACAAAATATTGTAATGTTGTTAATTTCTTGTAGTATRTTGACTACCATTAGAGTAACAAACATAGATTTCCAGATGTTTGTGAAGAGTCCAACAGTTATATTTTATATCTATGGCTGTAGTAACAACTTCTCTTCAGCAGCCTAGAAAAACATTTTGKGTCACAATAGGAAAGAAATATTACTGTGAGACTTTTTTTTCACTCTCATCCCCCATATAGCAATGCTGAACACTTTAGTCATTGCCAAACCAGAATGATGATTTGAAAATTAAAACCACCATCACTAGGGGCAGGACATAAATGTGCAGATGTTTCGTGATATTGAAGAACTTTTCAGACAACAGTCGCAAAGCTGTTGTGGAGAGGAGTAACAATCCATCAGAGGCGGACACTGTCAAGAGCATTTCCCTAAGCTATAGTATCAGAAGAGGCACTTAACTTTTCATATTAAATTAAGAAAAAGAAAAAAAAAAAGAAAAAACACACACAGTGCCAAACTATCCTGCCAGAGTGCGAACTTGTGCTGTGGCCCCACTCGAGGTCGATGAGAGGATGCTTAAGAGGACGTTGTCTCCTTCTGCTGTCCAGCCCCATTGTGCCCCAGAGGGTGCAGAAAGCTTGACAGGGGGTTGGACTGGTGACAGAGGCAGGAGGAAYCACAAGCAGCTGTGCCCTGCCCTAGCAGAAGGGGGGAACCAGAAATAGGCAGGGAGATAACTCTGAGTGAAGGGCAGTATGGATGGAGTTCTGCTCAAGCAGCTCGTACAAGACAGGCAGCCCTTTGGGGAAGTGCTGGCATGTGTGAGGAGAGGCAGGGACAGGGATCGCATGGCCAGGGAGAGTCACAGAGCCATAACCACCTCTCTGGTGGCCTGGCCTCTTTTCAAAGCCCCATCAAGAACGTGTCACAAGTGGCTTGTGTCAGCTACCAGACACTATTTTTTTCTTCYGAACAAAATACACTGCTCCTAGGTAAAGACAATTCATTAGGTGCAACATAGCCATAATTAAGTATCAGATATTATTTCTCACAAAATGCAACTCCAAAATCACATTGCATTAACTACAATATTGGACTGACAGAGCATAAACAAGGGTAATGATAAACACTGGTGGATGGAATGGGGAAGAGATGGTTATTAGGGTACCGGTGTGTTTCATGCTGGGTTTATTTAACGGTCTTATTAATGATCTGGAAAAGGTAGTGAATAACCATTTAATTAAGTTTGCATTTGATACTAAATTAGAAGTTGCTGTAGACACCTCCAAAGGCAGAGAAATAAATCAAAGGGAGCTAGAAGCATGTGCTGTAAAGAAGAAAATGAGATCTGGTGTGGAAGGAAAAAAAAAAAAAAAAAAAGGAGAGGGGGAAAAAAGTCAAGCTAATCTCTCTGGAAGCAAATAATCTAAAATGTAGCTATTCAGTGGAGCAATTCTGGAGAAGGCAATGTTGAAAGAGATGTAGGAGTGTTAATGGACTATATATTCCATCACAGCTCTGGTATATGTTTACAGAAGCAACGCATCAGGGAGCAGGAAGGTAATAGCCCTTCATTTTAGGGCTCTAGTGAGAACCCATCTATAATGCAGCACTCCGTTTTGAGCGTCCTGTTATCAGAGAGATATAGACAAATTGGAACGAGTTCAGAAAAGAGCCATAAAAATGATCCCATATCCCTGGAGATAATGACTTACGAAGGAAGATCAGAAAAAGTAAATATGTAAGGCCTTGTCCGGGAGATGACTGAAGTAGGGCAGGAAAACAGTCTGCAAGTATGGGAAGGCAAAAAGGGAGGGGGATAGTTTATCATTGTAACTATTAGTAAGAGGATGAAATAATAAGTAGTAACAATAAATTTAGAGAGGGCAACCTCAGGCTGAATGCAGGGAGAAAATTTTGACAGTGGAATTTCTTTGCAAAAGAACCCAGAGGCTTCCCAGGGGTAAAAGTGAAAGCTGCACTCAAATCATTTAAAATCAGATTGGAAAACCCACTAGAAAAAGCACCCAGCTATCAGGAACCATCTTTCATTGTCTGGGGAATAAGCTGGGTGACTTAATAGGACATTTCATACCCAAGTGCTTATGACTGTGATATTTTAATATGCCTGGTCAACTACTTTTAGAAAGTATACGTTTCTCCTGCTGTCAAGCCTGATGTTACAAACCCTTGCATGAAGACATAACCTTTAGAAGGGAGGTAGCTCCGCTGACATCATCACCCTGCTGGTTTGCAAAAAGACAAGCCTGAGCTCCCGGGAACTTTTGCAGGATCACAGTTGTAGCACTTGCAGTTGTCAGTGTCAAAATGGTGCATACAGATAATCACATCATCTTGGCTTCGTCTGTTTATGGAGAAGAACTGTAGAGAACAAAAGATGGGAGTAGGGAGCTCTAGAGAGGATGCATTATTATTATTATTATTATTGTTACTGTTACTGTTACTCTAACTCTACTGTTACTATTACTATTTGTTAATGGCTGGTGCTGTGGAGATCGCTTGAGTTCCTTAACTGTTCACCTTTTCACTGTTCTCACCTCTGTGCAGAGTATTCATTAGACACTGTAAGACTGCTTTCTCTTCTCTGTTTTTTACCTTGTTAGGCATTTTTAATGTATCCTAAAATGTCGCTTGAGTGAGAAAAGAGGGTGCAGCCTTCCTCTCATGAAGAAGGGATGGCAAAGGTTGGGGATTTAAATGAATATGCAGCTCAACCCAGATCTTCTCCTTGAGTTTAAAACGTTGTAATGTTCAATGCTTATGGTCCTTAAGGTTTGCTTTATGTTGCTGTTTTCTCTTCTTCCCTCCCTGCGTGTCGGTGGGCTGCGTGCGGGGCCGGCAGCCTGGTTGTGCCGCAGCCCAGTTCCCGAGCTGCAGGACTCTCCAGCAAGGGCTCGAGCAGCAGCAGTTCGAGCGAATCCGAGAGCAGCTCCGAGTCCGACTCCGAGAGCGAGAGCAGCTCCAGCGAGAGTGACGGCAGCAAGCCCTCGCATTATTCCAGCCCGGAGGTAAGGACTTCTTTGGCTTTTTGTGACTTAGGGCAGCAGGCCGTTATTAAACCCACTGGGGCCTTTTCTCCTGCCAAGCCAACCCAAGGAGGCCGGGGGAGACGCATAAAGAAACATAGGAGGGGAAAGGGCTGAGGATCCTCCTCCTGGCTCACTCTGAGACACATGTSGCTGGGGACCCTGGGGCGGATGAAGAAATCTGAAACATAAAGAAAGAAAGAAAGAAGGAACCCTGTGATATTCCCCTCAAAACTGAGGTGAGCGGAGCTCCTTGCAAGGCTCACAGCTTGCTTGAAGTTTTGTGCAACTTGGCCTCCATAATGATGGTTTGCTCAGCACGTTAGCCCTGATGTGGGCTCCCAGCACTGCAAGGGAACTAAATGCTTGTCTACACAGGGAAGCTATTGCAAAATCAGTTTGAGGGTGGATTTTTAATGCAAAACAGTTGGGTTTTGCTCGCTCACCTCCCTCCCTGTATTCCCCAATTGTTCTCTGGTGCAGTTGCCTTTGTGTCATGTAGTTTAATCCACCTCCAAAATGAATTAAACTGAATTACAGATGGTGCAAAATATTAGACCTAAACTTGTCACCCACAAAGCTAATACTGGAAATTTCCATACATGGAACAGCCCTGGTCATATTACAATTTATCTGACAGTGCTCTGCCACCTCCTGCTTTCACCTCAAAGGAGCGCTCAACAGACACTGTAAGGCTGCTTTTTTTCTATTCTGTTTTATTATTTTTTACAAGGCTCGATATTTTTATGTGTTTCGGTCAACACACACTGTAAGTATAAAACCATGAACTCTACAGCCACATCAGACACATTAATATATGTAAAAATATTCAAAAATCTAGTGGCAAGATTGCAAATACACATGAAATACAGTCAGTAGATTTGCCTGTTTGTAATAAAGCATCCAGGCATAGGACTTCCTCCTCCAACAGCCATGTCTCTCCTATTCTCGCAACCTGAAAAATTAYACTTACTACCAGCAATCATTTTCTTGTATTTTATTCAGGATTTGGAGTCATGCTTCTGTCARCACTCATGGAAAGGGTTTTGTCACTTTTTTTCCTAGTTTAACATGTATCTTCCTTTCTCTCCTTCCCCACAGTATTTTCCGATCCGTTTCCTATTAATTTCCMCCTCACTTTCACCCTTTTCTTAAATCTTTCCAGTTAGTCTGTGCTTCCTTGATCCCTTCTCTGTACTGCCCAGTTTCTTATTTCCCATTCTTGCTCTTGTTCTGCCTTTTAAGACTTTGTTCTCTGTCCTGCTCCCTGCTGAGCAGAGATCTTGCTCTCACTCCGTATGGGATCTCAGAAGGTGGAGAGGAAGGGATTAAGAGAGAAAGAGAAGAAGCTAAGAACTCCATGAAGGAAATATGAGATAAAAAGGAGAGAAGCATTATCCTCAGGAAAAGAGGAGTGTTTACTAAAGTAATGCAGTATCTAACTGCTCACCTGTGCTCATTGGAACTGAGAGTAGCAAATCCTCAGGGAATGCGGGAAGTGAATTAACTGAGGCAGGGCATGGATTTCATTAAGTCAGATAGAAAGGGTGTTCTGCGAGGGACAGAAAGTCACAGAAACTTAGAGGAAATATCTCTTGTTAAGTAGTTTTTACATATACATATCCTCTTGAGATCTGTAGAATTATTTTTGTATAGCATCTGAGTTACGAGTGATCACCGTCATGAAACAGCTGCTCTGCTCCAACAGATTGCTTGTCTCCTTGCATTATATTTGTGTGGTTTGCCTTCTAGGACATGCTGAAACTATAAGAGGATCAAAAAAGAAAATGATGGATGCAATGGTTTACAGTTCAGTCCTTGATGGGGTAGGAGGGGAGAGGCCATTACATTGACCTGGATAGGGTTGGGCTGTCCCACGGAAGAAGATCATCTGTGCTTTTCCCAGGAGCCAGCACTTTCCCAAGCCCAACATGCAGCTGATGGCACCAATTGAAAACATGTGGATGGAACTGCCTTGCATGAGTGCTTGAACTTACATTTTAGATACACAAAGAAGTCATCTTCCTGAAGTATATGCCATGTACTTACTTMGTAAGTGCAGAGAGACAAATCCATGGAAGCTTTTGGAGGGCAGCCCTGTCCACCTAAATTTAGTTAGTGGATTCAGATCCAGGTGTAAAGGTGAACTTCATCTATCACTTCATCTATCTATAAGATAGAAGAATGTGTCTTTGCATCAAATGCATCTTTGTCATTGCATACGCAGCTCAATATACATAGGTACAATGATGGCCAGGAAATTCATATTTCTGAGTTGGGAGAAATTTCATCTGGAAATCTGAGCCCTTGTTTCTTTCCTTTTTTTTCATTATTTGAAATATCACATGAATAAACTCAGAGGCTTTACATTCTAGGACAGAGTGTCTTCTACATTTGAAGTTATATGGAATTCAGATAACTGTGTCATTTCCTCTGTAATTTTTTCTCATGTCATCTGGAGATCTTTGAGTTGTTTTCAGGTCCTAAATGCAGTTGCCTAGAGTGCTAAAGTAGCTCATTGCAGAACATACGTAGAAAATAGATTAGATTAATTGCCCCCTGAAAGCGTCTATTTCTTTCCATTGACTATTGAGAGCCTGGAGTGACTAGCTCAGCTGTCTATGCTTTATGTCTGCAGTAAACTAAGAATAATGGCTGAGCTAGCACAGGAGGGARCGTTCAGACTGGTTTCAGTGATGTGGACAAATTAGGGTGCCTCAGACAGCAATGTGAATAGTTACAGTTTTGTGGCCTTCCAAACAGGAAATTATGAACAAGGGCTGAGACTTCTATCTCCTCTTTGCTGTGGTCATGATTTCTTTGCATGACCTTTTCTAATGTCATAAATGAGGACTCTGCAAAATAGTGATATCTTRTCCTTCCCATTATTTGAAACGGTAGAAAAAATAAGTCTCAAGTCCATAGAAAGAGATAAATTTAATGAGCTAAGAATTTGGAATGCTCATTCTTTGTTGCATTGAATTGTCATGCAGATCTTTAAAAAGGCTGAGCCTGGTTAGTCAGCCAGGGAATTCACACTATGAGGGAAAGGCTAGAGTGAGGAACTGACAGGAGGGAAGCAGAGAAGTCATTGCATGGGACAGGGCATCAATGGCTGTTGCAGCACAGCTCCTTTCAGCCACCAGGCTATTGAGATGTCTTGTGTTGGGCCCTACCATTCTCACACACCAGATGCACTGCCCTTGCAACCTTCACTGTAGTGACCAGGCAACAACCATTGAAGTGTTTTCTTGTTTTTCATGTGCCCCTTTTGTCCATGCTTCGCCATCGTCACAGGATATACTGTTTGGTCTCAAGCTTTCAGGTTGTGACTGACCAGGCCCAAGCTGAGTGATATGCATGGTAATGCTCCTTCCCACCTTCCTCTTTTATCAGCAGAGAGCAACCTCCAAACACAGCACTGTGCATCAAGTCCTCCAACTGCCTGGACATTGGTACCAAGGGCTGAGGAGCCATTGCCTATGAATTCCTGCTGTTCCCTCAGGCATTGTGTGGCATTGACTCCCTTCTTAATAGCTTTATAAATAAACAATGTGCTGTAGGTGTATCCAGCAGAGTAGCTAACTGGCAAGCGTGCTCCTGACACCTCACCAACCTTTCTTCACTGACGGACTTAATTAGGGAGGGAGAGGAAGAAGTTCTGTAGTTTTAGGGTTCCTTATGTCTTGTTTTCAAAAAAAAAAAAAAATGTTTCCACGCATATCTGTGAGAATCTTGTTTGGATTTCCTGACTGGTACACTCTGAAGAAAAGATTTTGCTGCTAGACCAACTGTGGACACTACCTTTACCTTTGCTGACAATATTCATGGCCTCTAGCTGTCCCATAGGTACTATTTGGGGGCAAAGACTACAACAGCTCTCCCTTCCAGAAAACTYTCTGTGGTAGAAGCCACTTCTACAGGATGTGTTCACCATACCTAACACATGGGAATCCCATTTCTAGTTGGATAAAGTGGTAGTAACAATACTGATAGTAGTAGCGATAAAGCAGTAATAATTGTAATAATCTGTATCTTGAATACAATTAAAAGACACCGTTATTTATATGAGGATTGCCCTGAGCCAATTTTTTGACGGTATGGCTACACAAGCAAGTTATCATAAGGCAGAACTGGTGTGTAGATTTACATTAGATTAAGTGCAGTGMGCTTAAGAAAAGTGATGACTCATTCCTACCCCTTAGTGAGTTAACTACAGGCACAGTATTATATGCCATTTAATCCCTCTATGAAAGTGTTACCATGCTTCAAGTTTACCATTGAATTAACTACATCTAAAGTACCTCTTTGTAATAAGAAGCGCAGTGAACCCATCACTCTTACACTGTTTAATAGCCCCTCAGCCCTGGATAATATGTTTTGAAGGTTTCTTTTGGACCACTGCCACTGGTGCCTCCAGTGGTACTTGTAGTTTTGAAGACATCRAAGGTACATAGACACACTTTGTGGGAGTCATCTTACCTAAATCTGGCCACCTGCACTGGAGATGTCTACATATGCTTATCACCTCAGCCTCCCCTTTAAAGCCAGTGGAGAGGAGCAGACATTTCTAGGACCCAGCTGATCTGGCCTGTTTCAGACATATGTTTCAGGATGAAGTGAATCACAGTCTGGAAGAGAAGCCCACTAGCTATAGAAGGAACTCATCTACCACCTCAAAAGTTATGTCTGCCTTGTACAGAAGAATCTACCCATAGTTTCTAAGGAAGTTTATCACATGCCTCTTTTCTCAGATGAAGTCTGGCTCATCATGTRTTAGCCTGTTACTCGGAACCAGCCTTGCTCTGGTACAGTTCCATGGTTTGGCTTTTCACAGCAAACAAGCTTTCTTTACAAGTCAGCTTCACCACAGAATCATTGATTCTATTGGTGCTGCCCACCTGGACACCACCAGTTTTAACACAGATAAATACTGTCAAGTTTTTATTAATATAAGCACTTGAGGGCAACGTATTACCTTGACACAAAAGCTAGAGGACAGAGACCTTCCTGCTTCCTGATCTCTTGAGATCTCAGCACATTTCCATCCTTATACGCTACTGTAAGTTTCTCATTTTGGGCAAGCCAGCTTTTTTTCTGTAAAGTGGCAGGTCAGCTGCTTAGGGTGATGGTGCAGACTACAGAATTAGGGATTTCCTTTTCCTCACACAAATAACTGCAAGTAGGCAATATAAAATGGATTAGTGAATACTTTCAAGTGATTTTTTATGAGGGCTACTCCTCTCTGTTGGCTGCCATGGTTATGTTCCCTTGCAAGGTACCTTGCTTTTGTAAGGGTTTCCAGAGTGCAATACTTTTTAGTTAGAGCAATCAATTGAATGTAATGCTTGTAAAGGTAAATTGGCATCTTTGATGTACACTAACAATCTAAGATATTCCAAAACTGTATCAGGCCACCAAAATAATGAGACACCTTTAAAAATTCTCAGTGTTAAAATTTGGATTCTTTTGATCTACTTTATGGGCTGTGAGCTTTTTGCGTTAAGAAGACACATCCTGAAGTGTTTTTTTTTAAGTTTTTTCAACCACAAAGATTTCTTTCAATAAACTCATGATACGTACCTAAGACTATGATCCCCAAAACTGAAGCTATAAGKAAAAATAGTGTCCAAAGACTCCCAACAAAGCTAAATAAGGTTTGCGACACTTCTGACACGTTTTTTATTAATTGGCATATACTTACGGACAGAGGTATTTTTCCCGTGTGCTTCTGCTGTATGTCTTTTTGTTAAATACACTCACTGAAGACTACAAAGAGATCTGTATACAGTGACCTTTTTATTACATATCTGGTTTCATATATACATAATGAATAGCACCAAACAAATCTGTCTCTATTCTCTGCAGCAGTTAAGAACTGCTGTTTATTTTACATGAAGAGTTAAGAGTTTTAAAAACATGTCTTCAGCCAACATCTGCCCACCCATCTTTAAGATTTACAGTTAAGGAATGAAATTCATCATGTTAGATATTAGGGAGCATGACTGAGAAAAAATAAACTTAGTGCAATTCAGCAAACTTGCTATAGACATCAGCTAGCTGGCTAATAAGTAAATTAGACACTTTAGAGAGGGAATATTTATATAATCTGAATTGCAGATTCCTATTTTTTTTGCTTATTTTAGGAAATTTAGCTCCCTGTAGAGTGAATAGATCCCTCAGAGGGCAATTCTGGAGACACCGTTGGCTATGCAGGAAACCTGTGTAACTTTCAGGCACCTTCTTTAAATATCTGAATTTARAGTGTGGATATTGTCTTCTGAACCAACTTTTTTCCAAGCAGAGTATACAGGCCAGAGTATAAAGCTGTGATAGGTTTCAGCTTGGATTCACAACATGCTTTCTGACTGCTTGTAAATGAATTTTGGTCCAGTTAAGGTAATTAGGAGACTTTTCACATTGGCTTCTCTGGGGCTGGGATATGGATGATCACCTACCCCATCATTTCCTTTTCTTTTTGGAGGGGTGGGGAGGTGGATCTCTCCTCTTCATTTGGTTCTATTCAAATAACCGATTGCCAGAAGCACTAGAAAATACTTGCACATTGCTCTGAAATAGCATTGTCTGAAAGCAAAATTATGCCCGTTCTTCACTGTCCAAACACCATTATATTTTAGATGATCTCTTAAAACTTGATCATGTTGTGACAGGAACAAAGAGAAAAACAATCAGCCATGAAATGCTTACAAAATGAGTACTTGACAACACCACCACACAGCAAACATTTGTGTGATCTGACAGTATTAAAACACCCATATCAGTAAGATGATGTGTAAGATGAGGGCTGGTTAACCTTCCTTCTCCTCACTGCTGCTTGTTTCATGCTTTTTTTTTTTTTTTATTTTTATTTAATGCAGTGGTACAGGACACAAAATACATACAGCCCTGCTTTCAGCCCTGCCCTACCCTGTGCCACACGCTCTGGCTGTCCCTGCTGGAGCGGGAAGGTTGGACTAGATGGTCTCTACAGGTCCCTTCCAACCTCAACCATTCTGTGATTCTGTGATACAAGGCATCACTTTTTAGTTTCAGCTGCACCCTTTGCTCTTTTTCCTCCTTTTCTAGCACCGTGGTGACACCACGCTTGGTGCCCCAGGCCGATGCCTCCCTGGAGAGTGGAGGGCAGGAACAGGGCCTCCGGCTGCTGATGGCCATGGTGGTGGTGGCCTCTGGGGACCCAGTGGAGCTTCTCCAGCCTTTCCTGGGGCCTCACTGGCTCCTTTACTTGCAGGGGGGAGGCAGTGGGACTCCATGTTGTGGAGAGTAGTGGGGGAGCCCCATATTTTGGTTGTCTCCAGGGGACTCGGGGAGGGCTGGGAGGTGGTGGAGCCCGCACTAAGCGCTCCTTGGTTTTATTTCTCCTCCAGCCCGAGCCACCCTCATCCAACAAGTGGCAACTGGACAAGTGGCTGAACAAGGTCACCCCGCACAAGGCGCCCATCCTGACCCACCATGACAGCCCGGCCCTGGAGAGCCATCCCTACTACGGCCGCGTGAAGCCGGAGCGGCAGGAGTGTGAGAAGACGCCGGCCACCAGCACCACCGAGCCCCGCAGCGGGGACGGCCGCGTCGCCGCCACCGCGGCCACGGCTGCGGCCGCCGCCGCCGGCGGGGACGGCCCACGGCCCCGCACCGCCAGCAAAGCCCCAGGCAGCAAGGGCGGCCGGCAGAAGTCACCCCCCGCCGCCGACGGCGGCCCGCCGAGGCGGGCAGCTGGGAAGAAACCGGCGCGCCGAGCAGAGAGGAGCTGCGCCGGGGACGCGGCGCCGTGCCGCRCGGCCGAGCCGCCCGCCGGGAGCCACGGCTTGGCGGAGCACGGCGCCAGCGAGCCGCCGCGCGCCCGGCCTGGCAGCAGAGCGGGGCATCGCCGCGAGCCCCGCTCCTCCGCGGCCGGCGAGAAGAGGCGGGCCAGGGGGCCGAGCAAAACRGCACCCAAATCCAAGGAGTTCATTGAGACCGAGTCGTCGTCTTCGTCGTCTTCCTCTGATTCGGGCTCCGAGTCGGAGCGGGAGGAGCGCCCGCTGCCCAAAGCGCCGGCCGGGGCCGAGGCGCGGGCCAAGGACACGGGCAGCAGCGCTGCCCCCAAGGCCCACGGCGGCTGCAGTGCCTTTGGCTCCATTAATGCCAGGACTAGTAGTGAAATAGCAAAGGAGCTGGAGGAACAGTTTTACACCCTGGTTCCTTTCGGTAGGAATGAGCTCCTGTCTCCTCTGAAAGACAGTGATGAGGTAAAGTCGCTGTGGGTCAAAATTGATTTGACTCTTTTGTCCAGGATTCCAGAGCGCTTGCCCGAAGAGCCGCTGGCCATGAGCGCCGGAGCAAACGAGGCGCCCAGCCTCCAGCAGACTAGTAGTGCCGCCCCCCCGGCAGAGAAGGGCTTTCCGAAACCTAGAAGGAAGCGCAAGGTGAGCCATGGGGCCGGGGGGCAGCCGTGGTGGGGCGAGCGTGGGGCGCAGCCCGCGCCGGGCAGCCTCGCGCCCTCGGCTCCCTCGCCACGGCGCGTGTGGGATCGCTGCCCGCTGTGCCGCTTCCTCCCTGCCGAGGGTCCTCCTCCACCCGGAGGACACAGCTCTGCCCCTGCGGCAGCTTTCCAAGGCTCCTTGTAGCCATCTGACCCCCAAGTTGCTGTGAACGGGAACTGCCAGCTGCCCCATTTCGGGACACTTGGACTTTGCAGTCGCCCGTTGCCTTTGGAGCTTCTGTGCAGGCTCATCTGTGAGCTCCCTGGGACCATGTATCCAAAGGGATCTTTTTCTGATCGCTTTCCATTTTTTCATTCAAATCAAMAAGTGGAAGCCCTCTTCTAGCCACCAGTAGAGCCATGACAGAAAGCCCTGTTTTCTTTAAAATGCATTCGCCCGCATTGTCTTTAGCATGGAGACATTTACACAGTACACAAAGATGGGGAACAGAGCAAGAAGAGTTGGAGAGTGGCCAAAGCTAAAAAAAAAATTACCTTTGTGCCATAGGAAATGCCAGAGTGATATTGGCAGGACATACACCGCAGAGAAAATAGGAGGATATGGTAAAAGAGCCAAAAAGATATAGTCTAGAAAGACTATATGACTTAATTTTAATGGCAGTGACTTAATTTTACATTCTCTGGCACAAACTATCTTTTATTCTTCTGTCTTGAAGCACTGCTGTTGTTGAGGTGCTGTTGTTAGCAATGTAATAAATACAAGGCATTGCTAGACTTTCCAGTCGCCCCAAACCACCTGGAATAAGACGCTCACTGCATCGTAGAATCATAGAATCATTATGGTTGTAAAAGACCTTCAAGATCACAAAGTCCAAACGTAAATCCATCACCACCATGCCTGCTAAACCATGTTCCTAGGTGTCTAATCTACATGTTTCTTCAGTTGCTAGGCAGACTCAAAATATATGACATCCCTTTTCAGAAGATTTTTAAGGCAAAGACTAATAAGAAAGGAATCTCAGATACAACTGTAAAAGGTCTTTAGCACTTCCATCTCTGTCATGGCCCCAAGAAGATGGGCAAAGTGGRGACAGAAGATGGTGGCTGAGTATTGAGGAGTAGAATGATCTTCACTCCTGCAGAGTGAGAGCTACAGCATTAACCCCCGTTGCAGCAGCCACCATGGCAGTGTTTAACACAGAAAATGTTGTTGCCATGCAGGAAAATAATAAATACAGCAGGATCAACACATCACAGCTAGAACCCAGTCAGTGCTAGAAATGGAGTAAGTGTTAGTAGTGGAAATGGAGGTGGACGGGTAGGAAAGTAAGGCCACTGGAAGACAAACATAATAGAGTATAAGGAATTTCACATGAAATCAAATAGAGTCAGGAAACATTGGTTCTGTTCTCACTGTTTGGCCAGTTAGGGACAGAGTAGAGTCCTAGGTGYTGTATAACCATCCATCTTGTTAAACTGTTAGCATACATGGTCTTGGCCTGCGCCAGGGTTTACTTTTCCAGATGATATCTGKCCGTGGCCCAGGACCACAAAGACCAAAGCCCATTCCCAAGAGGCCAAGAGGCAGTGTGAATATAGTACACCTTGGTTTGAAGGAGAAAAGTGTTGATCCAGATGGATGTGAGCTCTGCCAGGGTGGATACATTTGCCACTTGCTGGCCTGTTGTATCTATGTRATATGGCAAAGAATCTTCTCCAATAACCTTTAGGTAAATGTTCAAAGASAGCATCATCATTAACACCAAAATACCAGAAAATACCATCCCTCGAATTATCAAAATACTCTTGGTTCTGTAGTAAATCCAAAACCTACAAGATTATCATTTTTCCCTTTATTCAGTGCGAGAATGATGAAGAGTACAGAGATATCAAGAAGACTCATTTAGAACGAGAGAGTGCTTCACGATTAGCTTCATCTGCCCATAGCATCACGACAGCAAATCACTGCAATATGAATGAAAATAGGTAAGCATTTTCCTTCTTATTTACCACTCAGCCACACAACTAGTTGCAGTTTAATGCTGTGTGTTATTTTTGCCTTTAACAGGATTTATTTTTTAATTATCACATTTTATGTTGAAAAATTGCCCAGTGCATTCTCCTTTCTTCTGGTTTAATGAACAAGTTAGCAGCTCCTGACACATTTATATCTAGGATTTTTGTTCTATTGTGCAAAGAAGTTGCAAGTTCAAGTGTGAGGCTTGTGGAATAAATAATTACAGCTAGAGCAATGCAATCGTCCAAGATGTATTCCCAAACACTATGTTGTAAGCACCATATGTTGTAGACATCAGTTCATGTAGGTGACCGTGTTATGCCCTTTCATTTCCTTATGGTGTTAGGAATCAAAAAAAAAAAGAGCTTATCTGTATGTCTGGGTTTGTCTATTAACTCTGGGTTTGTCTATTAACTCTGAGGAAATGTATGAGAAAAATATTCACAATGCTTACAATACTCAATTACAGATTACATTTTAAACGCAACATTTTCCAGATTAAAAGCAATCTACTCTGTGTGTAATTAGCAGGCATTCTAGGATAAGAATCTTAGACTTTAAAAACAGTTGAATTTCCAAAGGATCCAGCTGTCTGCTGGTTGTCTATCCATTATTTTATGCTCATGGACCTCTGTCAATGCCAGATCAATCATACTAGGTTTCTTTGGAGGCTTCCAACAGTCAGATATTGTTCTAAGAGTTCTTAGAATACGTTGCTTTATACATCCTGGTCATCAGGATTTCARAACCATCTTTTTTCTGATAGTATCAGGGTGTCTCTTGGGATACAAATTCTAAGATGAGAGGATTYTTTTTGTTGTTGTAAGAGGCTTTTCTGTTGTACTCATCACTGACGAGTTTGAACAACTCTAGTCATTAATACTGGGAAAAGTCATACAAAATTAATACAAATAGTATTAATTATTAATACAAATATTCAGAAATATGCATTCACGTGTTTTGCCCTTATATAAATCATGTGTGTTTCATAAAGTTAAAACATTGCATGTAACAGCTTATTTTATTGTGGCTGATTGTGTGCAAACTTGTCATTCCTGTTACCACAATGTCATATCTTTTCTGTCACATTCATTTTCACTGAGTAGCGTGTTTCTCATAGGCTATGTCACAGGGGTTAATTCTTCTCTTCCTGGAAGCAGTACCATAATTTGTGTGACATTTTATTCAGAACTCCCAGTAGCAGTTGTACATTAAAGAAACAACAAAGAAGGTCCTAAGTGGTCATTTGCCTCCTAATTCTTGCTTGGTGTGTCCTGCTTACAAGATGTTGATGTGATTTATGCTACTCTAGGACACGACATCAAATGCTAATATCCCCACTTCTCAGGAGGTGCTAGTGAGCTTGTAGCTAAACCAACATTGCCCATGTCAGGAACTCCTTTACTTCTTTCAAGAACCAGGTCCCCACACTAGCATGTCTCCCCTCCAGCTATGCCAAAACAGCTGTCTGTGGCTTACTTGTAAATTCACTTAAAAAAAAATGAAACCAGAACTTCCTTTTTTTCTTCTTTTTTTTTTTTTTTTTCCAGCCAACCTTTTATTGCTCCTCTTCCAGCACAGCCACCCAACAGTTTTGTCAGCACAGCTGAGGGCTGGTAGCAAAGACAGGAGCAACACCACTTACAGACATGAGCATTTTGTATTGTGGAGGTACAGCCTCAGGCACAGGCTGAGCAAGGTTCTGTTTGACCTGAAAACGTGCAGCTCCAGGAGGAGATGCCACAAATGTGGCATCCATGCCACATCAGGTGCCCAGCCAACCCAGTCCCTACAGACCAGAGCTCCCCACAGAGTTTACCCAGTTCCTCAGCAGAATAAGGCTCACTGGGCTGCTGCAGTTGGACTGCTCGCAGTGTGTTTAGGTGGGCCCCAAGCAGTGTCCCAAAGACCATGAAGAAGGTCTGCAGCACAACTGCAAGTTACACAAGCCCTAAGCAAAACTTCCAAGTCTTGGGAAGACTCCCAAGGAGCTATGGCTTCTCATGGATGTTTTAGCCCTCCTCTTTGACAGTGATGCATGAACATGGCTAAACAAGGCATGGGTGTATGTTTGTAAACAGGAAAAGAGATGACAGCATCAGCCTGAAAAGTCAAAACAGCACTAAATATCTTATTTCTATTCGTGAGGAAAAAAGCACAATTGTCCATTTTATACACCCTAACTCTTACCTTCATAAACAGCACTGGTCACTAAAACAAAATGGTCCATGTTGTACTTTGAAAGTAGTACACTGCAGGAAAGAGAAGGTTTGGAATTATGAACAAGGTCTTCTGTCACAGCTAGTTTTTAAGGACTTTTAATTAGCTCTGTTCCTTGAAATGATGTGATGAAATAAGTTATATTTTGCACCACATTCCTCTTTGGCCACACTGTCTAACACTTTGGCCATAAAGAAGTGAGGATTGTTCATAAAAATAATAGGCTGGATAAAGAGTAAAGTGGCAGGGAAAGATACTGTGTTAAAATAGTCTGCTGCCTGATCTTGATTAGTTTTAGCCTTAATGTAAACTGTCTCCTTTAAAAAAAAAAAAAAAAAAAAAAAAAAAAAAAAAAACTTGTTTCATGCATATTGCTTTAAAAGTTTCAGATATTTTTTTCCAATTTAGTCCATCTAAAGTTTATTTTGGGGCATATCTTATTGCCTGTCTGACTTATCACCTAAAGCTTTTCTCCAATAAATGAAAGCTGAAAATACTGTCTGCGTCATAGCTTTCTTCTTTAGAAGATGGAGCAGCTCACATTTCTTTGTGTCTACTGTTTGCATGTGTTTCCTTTTGTGTGCAGTAGCAGCCTATCTTTCTTTGTCTTCAGGATCTGTATCACATTAGTACAAACAGTGCTACTAGAGGCTGGCCACTGAGCGCAGAGACAGCCCAGGCAGCTTCAAACACATTTCCTGTTTCAGTTCACATATGGTTTTATGGCTGTGACTTATAAATTGTCACTTGTAATGGTGAAATAGGGCTCCATAACCTAAACTTACTCTTCAGAGTCTAATCTTTTCCAGCTATCCCTTAAGAGATGGCGAGCAAGTGGCCATTTATCTCCATGTTTTTTTTCAATACCCTGATACAGACTTAATATATTAACTGCAGAGTTACAATTTGCCTCGAAGGCAAAGAGGAGAAACATGATCCAAATTTGCAAATGAACTCTTGGTCCCAATAAGCTTGTTTCCAGATACCAATAGACTTTATCCTTCCAGCAGGTTTTAAATTCAAAGTTTTGGTAATATATAAAACATTTACCTTTCTCAAAGCCAGCTTTGTGACACTCCATTACTGTAATTTCCATTTCCAGCTTGGCAATACCAATAAATAAAAATGAGAAAATGCTTCGGTCACCCGTCTCTCCCCTCTCTGATGCATCAAAACACAAAYACTCGAATGATGATTTAACTTCCTCCAGCAGACCTAATGGCAGCAATCTATTACCTTCCATCTCCTCCAGCAAAAAGCATAAGGGTGAAATCCAGTCGCAGTCACATGCCGGAGACTTCAATGTAAGTTTATACTGTTGTTCACTAGCACTATATTCTTCATTTTGTATTGCAATCCATGCTAGATTTGCAGAATGTTATGGAAAAAAAACATATTGTAATGAATGCTGTACTGTACATTCCAGTTTTTCAATTTTCAAGCATATCAAGGCACAGAAGGAAGGAAGACAGGCAGGCCATAAAGCAGGCAAATACTCAGCAAAGGCTACAAAAGCAAAAGGTAAAAGCTAATGGCCCAAAGCAAATAGATTTAGGCCTCTAGAGAATAGCTAGGGCACAATTCAAGGTGCCTCCATCCGAAAGTGTGGTGGTTTAGGCCTCCACTCAGATGCTACATAATCATGAGTATGTCTGCAGTCGGGCACTCCTACATCTCACACACAAGCTTTTCATACACTGATACTTAGCTTTGCCACTGGAGAATAGTTTAGCACTGACCTCACAACTCAGCCCCATCAGAGGCCACACATTCGAGTATTTATCTCATCAAACTCTTGATCTGATAAGCATGTCCAGAGCACCATTCCAGGTAAGGCTGTGTACTAAATCTGGTGGCAGCCAGTGCCTTTGAAGTACAAAGGGAAAGGGAGTAGGTCCATGCTCCTTTCCTCACTAAAAAGGCTGTTAGATGTTTTATCCAGTGCCTGTTCACTGGTACATTATTTGTTATTTGATAGTTGGGGGGCCACAAAAGCCTAAGCATTACAGCAACCTTCTGGCAAACAAATTGCCAGAGTCAATGCAGTGGTCATTGCTGGCCACTTTTATCGGGGGATAACTGACTTGTGGGGATAACTAGCCTGTATAAGCACATGACTTTGTAAGTGTATTTATTTCTGGAGAGTAGGGGAAAATGGTAGCTATAATTTTAATTTTATAGGGTTTTCTTTTAATAAGTTATCACAAGTTATGTGTTTCAAGGCTGTATCACAGATGCTTTTAGTATATTGAAATAAAATTAAGTACTCGAAAATGTGCCGTAAAAAGACATGTTTAACATATTGTACTAATTTATCATTTAATGGATTAAGTGTAAATTTTTAAACATTTGAACTTTTAAAACCTAAGTTTAGAGGTTTATAACCCATTCAGAGTTATAATGATATGACTCTTCACAGGATATCTTGAAAACAATTTAAATTCCTGCACAGGCAAATGTGTTGGAAATCAAAGGTAGAAAGCTATTGCTTTATGATCCACACTCTTAGCAAATGCATTTCACTGAGATTTTCTGCATAGCCTAGCAATGCACCATTTGGCCAACGTTTTAACAACCCTTGCAATAAAATTCTTATGTATCTGGTTATTCATGTGAAGACTTATTCATGTGCTGAACTGATGTGCGTGTGCCCTGTGGAAGATTCCTGAACTCTAAATATTATATCTAGCTTTATTTTGCTCACTCTTTCTGTCTGGGACCTGCCTGGCATGCCCAAGTGATCATCAGAGTTTTTGTCAGGGATCACAAGCCAGCGAAGGGTTTTATCTTTTTGAACTTTTTGTGTCCATTTCTCTTCTCCATGCCCTTCTTTTGCCTGAATTTGCCTGATTGCGTTTTCTGGCAGTGGTTATCAACCAAGGGCTACCTGGAGCTCTCAGCTTTCTATTGCCCAGTACGTGGTAGCACGTGACCACACAGCAGGTCATTTGATGGGATRAAGGGCATATGAAGCCCCACAAAGAGGATATCTCCAGCAGGAAGGTGCAACACCCTCTTTTCAGTGTATCAACCTGCCAAAAGGCATGTGGTCCTGCTGTGGCACAGAGCAGTCACCTTTCAAGCAGACCAGGAACCTGGAGCAGAAAGAAACCCAGACCTTGGGCTGCAAATTCACACCACACAGACACATTAGCAGTGCAGTGAGAAACAAGAGTTAAACAAGTGAATCGTGCTCTCCCACGGCAAGGTACAATGCTAGCTTGGAAACTGAAGAGCAGAGATATAACTTGATCTTCTAAATGACCACAACAGATCTATTATTTAATRATTTCACTTACTGTGTTACAGAGCCTTTTGATAGTTACTAATAGTCCAGCTCCAGTTCTTCAGTATATCATGCTGAAACCCTAGCCGATTTCAAAGTGCTCTGAGCAATATCTGTGAATTTGTGGCTATCAGTGACAGGACAGTTATACATTCTCCCTGCTGAAATAGTAGGAAAACTAACTGGCAATTTACAGCACAATGCAAAGATGCTTCTATTGTTTATTAGTTGCTTTTTTGAACTTACTAGCCAATTCCTCAATGTCTCCTCTGTTGTTTGTTGTCTAGAAAGCAATTCACATCAATTCAGAAAATGTTCTTCTCTGCAATAAGCCACAATCCCAGACAGAGCCTTGGTCGCCTCTGTCCAGCGCACCCAGGGACTGCAGAAGGGCAAAGCTTATCTTTGACGATATGTAAGTACAGATGCCTTTAAAACMAAGTAAGCAAACAATGTTGTTTTCTCTACTGAAAGAGAGAAAAATGAATTTGTTCCACAGAAGCTAAATAGTAATAGTATACATTGAGCTGTACAGAGACATACTGGATAAACTCTTTAATGTAACTTCACGAAATAAGTGTCTAAGTGCTGGGAAGCCATGGTGACTGGCTGTTTCCTGAGGTCGGGGAAGGCMAAGGGGATAACACAGCCAGGAGGTGAGCCAGGATCCCAGCCCACCTCACCGGAGCAAGGCAAGCAGGGAAGAGTCCTGAGGCTCAACAACGCCACGATGATGAGGCAGGTCTAAAATAAAGCTAAGAAGTCAGGTTGGGAGCAGGACTGATGAGGGAAACCATGGTCAGACCCAGCTCAGTGACTGTCAGACAAGTGACAAGTGACAGGGCAGGTCTGATGTGAAACCGGGAACACAGGCTACAGGTCACAGTCCATATTAAAGAGATCCACAGCCAGGCAGAGGCAGAGCTGTGACAGGACTGAAGACAGGCACACCTGCAGTGTCACTTGGACAGGGCCTGGAGGCCTAAGCCTCAGATTAACGGGGCTCCTGGCCAATGGACAGAACATAGAGGCCACAGGAAGGCTGACCCTTAAGGCCTGTCAGCTCCCTCAGGGTCCTGGCATTAATTCTGTACATATCTAACTGCAGATATATGCAGAGTCGTTGCAAGGCAGGGTGAAATGGCTCTTCCTGGGCTCCTTTGGAGCAAGGAGATGGCACAAATGAGAACATGTAGCCCTGAGTCTCGGCAGCTGCTGCTTTGATTTTGTGTTGGTAACACTGCTCAGAAAAAGGTGCATTCATGAAGGCAGGGTGAGTAGGAGGTGGTAGTGGTTAGTATAAGAACCTGAAGAGATGCCTGCCCCGCCGCCTCATCCCTGTGATGTCCTTCAAATATCCCCTGTTCCCTTCCTCTGAAAACAGTTCCAGTCCTTGTAACTGTCTTTCTTCTGGTTTTGGTAAATTCAAATCTCTAGTTCACTTACAAAGGTGATTTGTAATGTGGTATCTTTTAGATAAAATGCAAAGTTGATACTGAAAGCTGGAATCCTAGTATCTAGAGAAATCTCACTCTCTTTGCCTGAGGAGCTTATGGCCAAGAAATACTGGCTTTTCTGGCTCGGCTAGAATAGAAGGAATTCTGTTAAAGCTGTACCTGGCTGTCTGGAGTGAATGTAGCTCCAGATGCTCCATGTCCTCGACAGGCCCCTCATACCCCCCAGACTTGCATCCACAAAATCACTCACTCGTGTGTACCAAAGGGAACCTTCAGAAAACAGCCCATTTCCTCAGGAACTGTCTGCTACCAGAACTCTGATTTTTAATAAATAAATATAAAAATTAGAAGTTAGCCTCACACTTCCTCCAGATAGTCTCACCACTTTTCCTGCATAAAGTATAAATAAATCACCATTGACTTCAAAAGAAGTATCTATTTGGTATGTCAGGAAAAGAAGGCTAGCGAGCTTCATTTCTCTGAGCATTCATAACTCATAAGGAGATCTACGTTGAATAAATGTAACCATTTTCTCTGTGCCTTTTGTGGAAAATTCTCCCTAGCATATATATTCTAATTTTCCTTCTTTCTTCCCTTCATGCTCTTTTTTCCTCTTTCAAATGCACTTACTCAACCACCCTTACCAAGGAAATTTAAAGCTGTTTGAAATTACAATCTAAATCTTCATAGGTCTTAAAATGCTTTGTCATCTATAATTTACTTGCAACTGTTGATTCTTTTTTCTTCATTTTAAAGATGTAAGTGAGAAACAAAAAGATATGAGTATACCTGATAAAATTCAAAATGTAGGAAGTGCTCATCTGTACAGGTTAGAAGAAAAAATGCAATGAAAAAGGGCTTCAATAGAACTATTGTGTCTTCATCTGCTCATCTCTTTCAACATACTGATRAAAAAAAAAAAAAAAAMMRGGGRAMYKKTKSYTTTTTTTTTYCCCCTATAATGCTGTCACAAGAAAACTGCTTTTTCCAGTATCTCTATCATCTAAGAAGCTTTTATCACTTGCTTTCTCCATTAGTGATACATGTGATTTCTCTGGCAGGCATCTTCAATAAAACTGCTTCACCTTTTGAAAGAGRGATACAATAAAACTGTACACGAATAGTCCCTTCCATGTAGAATGTCCCCAAGCAGTTTGCGGTCCAGAAAAAAAACAGGCAATCAAAAAAACAAATAAGACAAGACACAGAAATCAAATATGTCTTAATTTGCCCTTAAAAAACAGAAACAGTTAAATGTCTGTCGTGCTAACTGGAGAAGAGAGATTTTCATGTACTACAACAGTTGTCCCTAACTTATATTTAGGAAGCACCAGCAGAATAACAGCTATACTAGACCAGGACTCTGAAATTGCTGTGCAGAGAGGCTGCGGAAACATAGCACATTAGACTGGCTGCAAATGTTGAATGTCAACAAATTTGACTCACGTGTTAGAAGCATCACATTAAACATGGCAGCCAGCATCTTTCAAATTCTGCACCGCAACAGAGGATTTGAAGAAATGCGATATACCGTGTCTAAAATTATCTAGTAATCCTAATGGCAGTGCTTTGTCCAAAAYGATGCCCATGAAATATTTCATCTCTTAATCCATGAAGTTCAGAATCATTATTATAATCCAGCCTTAGCTTTAAAGTCTTCATTTTAATCACCCTCTATAGTTTGAAGAGACTAAATCCCTTATACTTGATTTAAAACAACAACTATTTTTTGACCAATCAGTATCTCGTTACATTACTCTCAATTTATTTTCTCCAGATCATTGACAACAGCTGTCACTGGCAATAAATTGGAACACAAGCAGGTCAATAAAAAATGTTTCTTTCTTGGCAGAATGCTGTACACACATACATTGAAATATAGAGGTAAATATAGATAACCATCTTTAAAAAGGCAGGCCAAATCCTACTATCTCTGATTTGCCATTGTTTACTGCCTGCTCAGAATATGCTTCAAGATACCCAGCATGTCACATGCATACATGACATCAATACTGTTTCTAGTATTAATTCTTAACAAGATTTTGTTGGGGTTTTTTTTGCCATTTATGACTGTATGAGATAATAAACTTTTTAAAGTTATGTAATAATGCTTCAAGTCAAATTCTGTCCCGCTGTAATTCCACTGAATGATAGAGTTCCCTGCATTTAGGAAGGAAGGCTGTTGTCCTTGAAGTGATAAGCACAAACATGCTGTGGGTGTTTGGGAATGCAGCCCCACACCTTCCTCAAAGCACTGCGTGTGTGCTGTGAAAAGCGTAGAACATACCCGGCTTTCCAGTTCTGATGGTTTTGTGTCTTCATACATTTATGTTTTTTGCGGTAAACCATGTGCCCAGGAAATGTTCCATCTGTAAAAGTGTACATCATAGAGCTCCTAAAGACCTGAAAAGACAGCTTCTTGGCACATGTCTTAGTTTTGGCTTGGTTCCCAAACCTTTCATTGTCAGTCTCTTCTCCCATGTTCATCTACCTCACAGTGGAAAAGAAAAGGTGGGCTACAGTTGTGACTCTGATACAAGATCTGGAGCACAGCTCACTCTAACTTGCCCAAAATGCCTCAAGGACTCTTGATCTTCTGAGATATTTTAAGACTTGTGTCTTATCCTCAAGAGCACTTTTAAGGAAAAGAGTTTGGGTCCCCTTTCTAGACGACCTAAGAAATCTAAGAAATTACTGGTCAGACAGACCAACATTTACATATATTGAGTTCTTCACAAATTCATAGACTTACTCGGAGTGCTTCCAATTTCTTGACCTTAGGAGATTTCAAAACGACATCTCATTGTCTCATTGTTCCCCTTCTGCCTTTTTTGCTTATGACAATCAATTTTCCCATGTCTACGCTGCCCATGAGAAAATAACATTAGTCTCTTAAATAGCAGACTCTGCCTCCCATGATTAGATAAGTTGCCTGTTCCCTGCAAGACCATCTACACCCTTTTTTCCCTTTGGGACGCTTTGTGAGAGCTTGGTTTGGTTGGGAAATAGATACTTAATCAGCTCGAGCTGGAGGTWCTCATGGGGGAAAGGATTTATAGCCATTACTCCCCGATGTCAAAGTGAAGCAGGGGCTAGGCTGAACTTACAGGCTACAGTCCTGCCCCTCCTCTGTCCCTATGGGCAAGTGGTGCAGCACTGCTCGTGTCTTCATGATTAAGCTGCTGTATTCAGCCTCCAAAACAAAGAACGGCCACGGCCTCCTGAGAACAGCCCCTGGCCCTTGCCATCCCCCAGCTGCGTCCAGGCATTGTCTGAGACAGAGTCCAGAATTATGCCAGCGAGACTGTTAGCAATTAAACAGCATGGATGATCAAATGATAGAGCTGGTGTCCTTGCCCTGATTAACTCTCCAGCATAGACATGGACAAGGAATGCTTTAATTGACAGACTCAGATCTGAAATAGCCTCTGATAATATTACCACTCTGGGAAGATTTGTTTTTATGACTTGACTTTTTATGTTCTTTTTTTTCAATCTGCAACTTGGCCAGGAAATATCTTTAGTCCACGTCCACAGAGAATCATGAATGTGRGCAAGACACGGATCTGCTACTCAGGCAGCCTCTGGCTCAGCAAACCTTCCCTCAGGATGTACCAAACCTCCTGGCAGCAGAGCTGAAGGTCTAAGGTAGAGAGAGAAGTTCTCTGCCCTCACTTCCCCTACTGCTGAGCAGAGAGCAGATGCCCATAGCAGATGATGAGCACCTTCCAAAACTCTTCTCAGTTCTTAGACTAGTCTTGAGTTTCATGCTGAATACGAGGAAGCTTCAGCTAACAGCCATGTGGTCCTACACTACACTAAGACTTGTTTTTGCCTGAACTTGTCTTCCTCAGGTTTCACTCCAAACGTTGATATTACTCCCTAAAAGCTGAAAGCCCATCCCAGGACTTCAGGGTTTGTCTTGCTGTGCTGGGCCACATATCAATGAGGGTTTTCA